ATACACACACATATATATATATATATATATATATATATATATATATATATATATATATATATATATATATATATATATATATATATATATATATACATAACATATCTGTTTTTAATAATATACATATAACAAGAAAGAGGATATAAGGAGAAAGGTGAAGATTCTCTCTTCGGAAAGAAAAGTAGTTGATTCTTAAAGACTTAAACAGAAAAATAGTGAGACTTGACTGAGGTACATATTACTCATATACTATTTATAATATAGTGTGTATTATTAAGTATATTATTAATGACACTAGGAGAGAAACATACTACAGAACATATTTAGTAGTAGAATAATGAGATAATATTAGCTACCCACATAAGCAAAGTTTAATTAATAAATACAATTAGGCGTCGACGTGGGCCGATGTAACATAACTTTGAAAGTAACTGTCTTCAGTCAACTTTCAAATCCAATTTAGATAAGTTCCCAAACATAAATTATGGATCGATAATCAAATTCATATAGATAAGTGGCGTCTAATGAATTTTTATTTTAACGAAGTGAAAAATTATAAGCAATAAAAATGGAAATTTATAATTTTCCAATTAAATTCTCATTATATCTTATACAGATGTAATTTTGTGGTGAAATTAAACACATTTTCTTAGTGGATATATAATTATTTACGACATATTTTTAACTATTTATATAACTTATTTTTAACGATATCTATGTCTGATAACTAATCTAACTAATGTATATTTAGCAATTATAAAATATGTATATACTATAATTTCCACAGGGATTTAATGCAGAGATTGTATGTTATCTCTGAATATAATATAGTGAACGCTTAGAAAGGATTTTTCGAAACAGCAAGCCAAAATATTTTTAGGTCACCCATATATCTAACAAAATTATTCACCGTTACATAAACCCATAATGTAAGGTTTTATTGAGAAAAATGAACTTTAATGCGGACAATTTAAGAATAAAAATAACGTGTCGGTAAACACCATTGATAAAAAAAGTAATCATTAATCAATCGATATGAAGGTATTACATAAGTACGTATCTAAAAACAGAAATATAATAAATAACATATCATGAATATTTATAACATACTTACATATATTTATAATAGTCAAATTCCGCATTTTTGAAGTCCATCTGTAATTCGACCCCTTAATTAGAAACTGACCGAACAAACGAGCATTCTAACAAGATATCTTTAATTAAGACACTTGTAAAGAAATATAATGATGAGATTGATTAATCTGAACGCCCATTGTTGTAGCTACAATGGACATTACCCAATTCATGAACAATCCATAATTAATGAATTGTAATGAAAAATTGGTAACAGCGAGCACGTAATGAATTAGGTAGATGTTGTTGAATTAACATGGCCTAATTAAAATTATGGCAATAAGCTGATCACATAATTCGAAGAACCGACAATTTAAATATATGAAAAAAAAAGTCAAGAAAAGCTTGTAAATGCTATGAATTTAAAAGAAAGACGACAAAAAAAGGAAGCAGTGGAGCTTAAATAGCTCAGTTTATAGAAAAAAAAAAGATAAGCAAGCTGAAGTGGCAATGGGCTGGTCACATAGCTCGAAGAACCGACAACCGATGGGGACGAAAGGTACTTGAGTGGCGACCGCGTAAGGGCAAACTCAGTGTAAGATGACCCCCACTAGATGGAGTGACGACCTGAAATGCATTGCAGGGAGTCAGTGGATGCAGGTGGTTCAGGACCGTTCTTTATGGCAGTTCTCTATGGGGGAGGTTTATATCCAGCAATGGACGAATAATGGCTGAAATGATGACGATGATGATGAATTAAAATTATAACATTAATAAGTAATACTTACATAATATGTATCAGAGATAGTCTTTGTAGAAAAATCGTTTACATGGATATACGGACTGAATGGACTTTATCCCACCCGTTCCTGCCATGAATCAGCTACGGTTGCACGGCTATATTTCGATGTGTAAGGGTGAGAAATGGCTTTTTGGTCTTCCCCTTCCTCTTCTATATTACTTATCAAAATATACTTTATGAACTCATTATGGAATGAGCTCCCTGTCGAGATTTTCCTTAAAAACTACAGTATGTGTTTCTTTAAAAGAAACCTTAACACACCCTATTAAGATTTCTTCAGGCTCGGCGCTGTGCACGTGCTATCCCTGGTGTGGCAGGCGTCTATAGCTTACAGTAACCATTTACCATCAGACGGATTATATGCTTGTTTGTCAACTTCGTGGTACAAAAAAAAATGAAAAGTACATATATAAATATGTAAAGACGCGTAAAAGTACCTAAAATCATGCCTGTCCTAATCTTAACTATTTCGATTAGCGCTCTTCTCTAATTTACATCGTGTAAAATATTTTATATTAATGTTGTACAAGATATATAACATATTCATATGTAGTTATATTAAAATGTAAAGTCTACTAACAAAATGAATGAATAAATCATGATACTATATATGTTTTCAACTATTAAAAAACTTGATGATTCTCTCTCTTTGTAAATTGTGGTGGGGGGTGTACGGGGTCTCACATGGTTTATGTACTTACTTTCTATATTATAATAACTAAATCGTACCATATGATACTCGTATGCTAATAAATATAAATAAAAAAACAAATAACTTTTTCTTACCGTATTTCCTCAATTAGTCATCTTCTGTTACAATCTCTACTTATTCTTTCTAATTTATCCTTCTCGTTCTCCAAATTTGAAATATTTCAAATCATTTTATTTCTTTTTTCAGTTTTTTATATTCTTTCTCTTCATTAATTTCTTATCTATATCATCCTGAGTGATGCTATAAATGTCTGTATCTTATGTATATAAATTTTAGACTTTTTTTTTTTTAACTAATACATAAATTACCAGTGGAGAAATGAAAATGAAAATTAAGACTTAAACATATTATCCTGATATTTATCAATTATTTTTTTTTCATTATTATTTTACTTTTTTTATTAATAAAATAATTATGCTTTATAATTTCCTATGTATGATATGGCTAACAAACGTGACATTCACCAAACCCAATTCACTGTATATAATACAAAAAAAGAACCACGTAACAGCCACAAAAAAGTGTGTCCGAACCAGACTATTGCATTAGTAACGCATTCGCAAGAGACTACATAATCGATAAATATCGGAAGGTGATTACACCAATCAACCAATATAATATGGACCGATTGGTGATAAACCAATCAATATATTTCACTAAGAAGATAAAACGCCACTTTCTACTATCGTACAACTCGCCATTCAAAGACTGGGAGTTTATCCCCGTACCTTAGAGTCTAGATGGTCACGTACAGCGCGATTTCAAGGATATTTTCTTCCACGAACACTCACAGTACGAAATGAGTTCCCTGTCGAAATTTTTCCAAGAGACTACAGCGTATGGTTCTTCAAAAAAGGGGTAAATAGGTTTCTTCATGACACGCGACATACTTCTGGTATTGCAGGCGTTCACAGGCTACAGTGACCGCTTACCATCCTGTGGGCCGTATGCTTGTTTGTCACCTCAGTAATATAAAAAAAGGATAGATTATTAACAAGTGTGCGTTTCGTTTTATGGCGTGTGATCCCGGTATTGACTGTGCCACCCCTTCCTTGTAATAGACGACTCTCTCCTTTCATTTAAGAATTTCCTCTTGTCGGTGCAACTAATTCATGCATCTTCTTCCAGCCAGTTCTATCCCAAGCCATATCTTTGACCTCCCTTTACGACATGACAACTAGTGTTTCTTTTATCTGTCCCATGTAGTTATTCCTCGGTTTACCTCTTCCTCTTTTGCCCTCTTTAAAAAATCGTCATATCGTATAAGATGACCCAGCATTTTGCCTCTTCTATTCTCTATTGTTTTAATTAATGTTTGTTTCTCATTCATCCTTTTCAGGACTTCCACATTCGTTAGTTTTTCTGTCCAGGTTATCCTTTCCATTCTCCTCTCCATGTCCACATTTCGAATAAACAACTAAGGGAACTTAATGTTCCAAGATAATGGATATAATGATGATGATTCATATACCTATAAATAAAATGGAAAATTAGCAAAAAGTAAGTATAGTTAAAGAATACCACAATTAGGTTTACTAGAAAAAATAATATAATCAGATATTTTATGAGGTGAATCAAGAGAATAGAATAATTTTTTTTATGGGTGAAAAATCATACATGAGAGATCATCCCACTGTACCTGCTTCCTTAGTCGCCTCTTAAATAAAAGGAAAGGAAGGGTTAGCTTATTCTATGCTGGGACTACACAAGCACATGAGAAATTCCACGGACATATGGCATAATAGTACATTCTTTAATATATATTGTGTTGTTCATAGCTTTTATTTTTCCATCAGGTAGGCCGTCAATTTGTTTACAATTCTAAACATTATGAGAAAAATAATAATTATTTTTTTTTATCACATCAGTTTGCTATTCTAAATATAAAACTAATAATTACATTTATGTCAACCGTCAATCTTTCTAAAATGGAACCTTCTTACAGTAATCCGTTTAAATTACAACTTTTATAATATTCTTTCGAAAAGCTATCACAGCCAGTGACAAAATCCTAACAAAAAATCCGATGTAAATTTGAATTATTTCATACTAAACCTCTTTGAGCAATGTTCATTGCGCAATGCATAACAAAAGAAATGTGGGACTCAATTCTATACTATGTCAACTAACGACTTACGCAAATTTAGGAAGCACAAAACAAGACTTAAACGTTTTACATTCACGGGAATTAGAACAAATTTCAAGTCATCTGTTAAACAGTAAATACAAAATGTCTGAACTTGCACTTTCAAATCGAATGACTCGGTAAGTCTTCGGTGTTACTTTCTCTCTTTTGCAAGTGTCATGTTAGCAATAGCACCTCTATAGATTCTCCGACTATTTAGTGCTTCTTCGTTTTATTTTTTTTCTTTTTAATTTCATTTGTAATGACGTCACGGCGATTGTACTGCTTCGACTGTAGTCATTTGAGTTCTAACATGAGTGGAACGCGCTCGCTTAGTTCGCGATCTCGGTAACCGCAAACGCGCGAGTTCGCGTTTACGTTCCGAACGTTTCTGTTATTATTAGTAAACGTTAATCCAGCGCGAACGTCAAAGGTTTTGTTATCGGTTTCGCCTAAAACCTGATAAACTGTATTGTTTATTGTGCGGTAACGTTTTTGTGGGCATTAGAAAAATGGAGTGTCACTAGTGTGAGGTGAGTTTATAAAACTTTTCTATTGTAATTAATGCCTGTTTTTGTTTGAATTCTAAAGGTTTTTTGTTAAATATGTAGACGTCAGCTTTTATTTATTCATTACTTCGAATATGTTATATTTTTCTTTATTAGCATATTCGTACTGTAAGTACGATACTGTAAGTTTGTAAAACTACAATGTAGTTTATATATTTTACGTAAAATATTTTTTTTATAAATTTATTTTGGTGCTTTTCTTATTGTTAAAACTTTCAAAAGTATTATTATTACGTTAAAATTATTTCAGTTCTGCCAAAACATCGAACTTTAACATGTTTCACCAAACTTTTGTTAGATCAAAGTTCGACTTGAGTTATACCTTATTTTATAATTTAGAAAAGATTTTAGGTAGTTAAGTAACTTATAAGTAAATACATATTACAAGAAAATTCTACAGTTACTTCTAAGAAATTTGAAGAGAAAGAGATTCACAAGTTTGAGTTTATTTTGCATATATATTATATCTACTAAAAGTTACGATTTTCGCTTTAATTCATAAACATTATTGTAGACTAATTCTTTTTTGTAATTTTTTTTACTAATTTAAAAACAATCATTTTAACCCTGTTTTAATCAAAAACTAATTTTGTTACAATCCAAGTATATGTTTTTTATGAATCAAATATTTAATTATTAAGTTTTAATAAACAATTTCCGATCTAAATACTTGCACTTAAAACTTATAATAGTATTCATTTTGTCATAGTTGAAACTACAAAATTTTTAACTGAGTTCAAAAAAATAAAAACGTTTTCATTCCGATTGTATTGTTGTTGTTTACTACTTAAAAACTCCATCTTTTATAAACGTATTCAACAAAAAAAAATCTTTTCTTATTTTAAAGGACATATTTTTCATTCAGATTGTCCCTATCCCTGGAAACTTCATCAAAATCGGCTCAGTAATCTAGTTTTTAAATCAAAAACACTAGTTTTGCCTCGATTAAAGTCTTTGTTTATTTTGTGAAAGAAAATCTATTTGTATTAAATTCCTATTAAATAGACCTATTAGATATATATATATATATATTTATATATTTATATGTATAGTATTCTAGTTACCATCTTAATAATATATCTATTATAATATAGTACGTCAGTCATGTAGCTACCTAAAATATATGAATAACAAGTCAAGGTACTCCGGAGGTACTCCGGCGTGTATGCACAGTTGAGTTATGAAAACAGATAAAGAGTAAAAATATGTACATTAGGATCTTTCTTCATACATGTAGCAGGAACTTGTTACGGAGATAGATAAAATGTACATGTATCAGCTTGATTTATCTCTTCCTTACACTCAATTTTTTTTAAGTAATATAAAAATTTGGATGGCAGGACTCATATAATGGAAAGTGATTAACACCTATAGACAAGTACAACTATGACCATCACAGTAACGCTATGATTCTCATGGTTGCCCTCTAGCAGTGCTATTAACAAATACTTAATTATTCTTTTTAATACGTATGTAAAACTGTATATAAGTTTTTTTTTTTATACAACTTAGAATGGCAAACAAGCTGACGGCTATAAACATGAGCAGTACCATGGGCATAACAGAGTATACTGTTTCGCCCATAATACCCCCCATGCGTTGCCATTCCTGAGGACTCAGATGTTATTCCTGTGTACCCTGTAAATTCACGCCATATCCTACCCTTTAAACCGAAACACAGCCATGCAAACACAACTACTTTACGATAAAATGGTATATATGTATAAATGGGAATTTTAAGAACTTTTATAAATTTCTCGTTTTCGACAATTATTTCGATTTCATTCGAAACAATCACGAAACCTAATCCATTTTAAATTAAAAAGAACCACACATATTGGACTATGTATGAAAAAATAAATCGCAGTGTCATACACAGTATGTAACCTCCTTTTACGAAATCGGGTAATACCATAGTAATAGTTATACAAACAGATCAATATTATTACAAAACCAAACACAAACACAAACCAATGTTCGGCCAAATATTCATCATACCAATCCACGTGTTTACAATAACCAGTTTCTTCACGCTGTTTTTACCGTAATAACCGGCTTCTGCGAAGCAATAGATGTAAACTTAGGAAACTACAATAACTATTCGATACATCGACTGTTTATAATTCGACCTAGATGATAGTAATGACTTTACAGCGTCAATGGATAGCGTTAAATATGTATAAGCCGATGTGTGTTGGTACAATATATTAGTGATAACAGGCATAAGAGAATGAGGTTTGAATTTTCATATTACGATGCCAAAGAAATTATTCGACATTATTTTCAAAGTTTGATATAAAAATATTATAAAGAATATAATTTTAAAACTAACTAGTTACACCCGATACTTCATAATAATTACTATTTAACAATAGATGGCGTAATTTAAGAAAAATACCTTTGTTTGATTACACTATCAATTGTCATGTAGTATTTACTCTATAATAAATGATTTAAAAAAATTCAATTTAACCCTTTTATTGGGTAATTTTCTGAACACATTATTACCTATAATTTGTTGACCCATATTATATGACTCTTATGAAAAAGTTGATGAATGTGGAGGAAGTGAAAGAGGTTTGTTTGAATCCAAGCAATTGTAATCTATTGCTTTTGTCCATCCCAATGGGAGACAGACATGATAGACATGTATGTATGTAAGTATCTAGACAAGTAGTAAGACTAGAGTGAAAAGACTTTATTTGGGTTACACTAACACATAAACAGAGAAAATTTTGATGCTGTTTTTATCCAATATGTAATAGTACCATACTATTTCAACTGTTAACTGTCCACTGCTGGACATAGACCAAACTTTGAGAAGTTTTACCAGTAATCGCCACACTTGGCAGGCGGATTGGCAACTTTAGTTAGGCTTTGGTGATGTTTGAATACGGACTCTGCTGCCCATCCCTTAACGATTAAATTCCCTTAGTCGCTTATGACATCCACGAAAAAGTAAGGGGATGCCTTACTTTCTCGTGGATGTATGCTATGCCGGATACACGCGCAAATAAAATAAGTACCAATTATTATTATTTTTAATATATATATAGTTATGTTTTAAATTATTATTCATTGATTATATAAAATGTATTGTTTATTATAAAAGTATACCTAAACGGTTTTATGTGTCTATTCTATTTTCGTACGAATTATGTAACTATTGTTGACGTGACCTTATGGTTCAAGGATCTTATATTTCAAGGTCTATGATATTTTTTTTATACATATTTAGGATAAATAATAAGTCTCATGCCTTTTTCTGTATATATATACGCCGTGTTGGTCCCGGCATAAAATAGGCCACCTTGTCCTTTCCCGTAAATGACGTAACAGTCGACTAATGGAGGGCGGGGGATAGGCAGCAGCGTCCCTCTTAGAACATCACTAAAGGTTAACTAGTACCAACCCGCCTGCCAAGCGTGGCAACTATTGGCAAAATCTCTCCAATAGAGAGAGCCTACATTCTACAGAGAACCTACGGAAACCGTTTATCTAGAAATTATTGATCTATAATGCTCCCCAATCCGAGTGAGTATTCAAATTATAGAATTCGAATACACCATTTTGAATATTCAATATTCGAATGCCTATACTTATTTCTGTTTCGCCCTAAAGTAACAATTTTTATCTTAAATATGAAAGACGACATCCACAATATATATATATATATATTACATTTTAGAATTTATTGCCACCATTAAGGTTCAACTCAATTCAAATTATATACAAGCATTACTATTTGAGTTACTTCGATTATTTTTTAACGAATACCAAAATACTCGAAAAGGTCGATTTAGCACATCACTAATCTAAAATAAAATAGGTACATAAAAAAATATTTCGCTCATTTAAAGTAAGCTTGGAGTCTCTTCTTTTTTATATCCAAAAAAATATACTTACAGATAGGTCCCATGTCTTTTTTTTTCATGGAACACAACCTTCAATTATTAAGATTTTGTGTTCATGTCTTGGTGCTAATAAATAATTTAAACAAACAAACGGCTCACCTGATAAAAAGTGGTAACAATCACAATAACGAGAACAATTGTGAGAAAATTATAAAATACAAATCTCATCTAACATTATAAAACCTATTAAATGATAATTTATATGTACACTAGCTTCAGTTCGCGGTTTTTCCCATGTGAATACTAATTCACATTCACAATTTATCCTAATAAAAAATATCCTATTATATTTATTCTATTAATATAATAAATGCAAAATGATGTAACGAAGAATGGATACTCTTTCAAGTAAAAACTACTGAACAGATTAGAATGAACTTTGGTACACGGGTAGATTATACCCTAACGTCCTACATAGACTTTATATATGATGTACATGAGTTAAACTACTAGTCTAGAATATGATCTACCTATATGCGAAAGTTCATCCAAAAGCTAGTATTTAACAAAATGTATACATCAACTATAAATATCTTGTAATGTAATATTTATAAAAATGTTAAAATTATTTAGGTGTTAAATTATTTATTTACCAGAAGGAGACTGAACAAAAGTTGTTTGCTTAGGCACCTCTGTCCCATTCGTGTTTCTACCGTGAAGCAGTTATGTTTGCATGGCTGTGTTTCGGTTTGAAGAGTGGGATATGGCAGTGAAATTACAGGGTACAGAGTCATAACACCTGAGCCCTCAGGAATGGCAACGCATGGAGGGTATCATGAGCGAAACATTATACTCTGTTATGCCCATGGTACTGCTCATGTCTATAGGCGACGGTTACCACTTTCCATCAGGTGGGCCGTCAGCTTGTTTGCCATTCTAAGTTGCATAAAAATAAAATAAATAAATAATTTAGGTCCTGCATTAGTCAGTGGACTATGAACATATTAAATAAAAATGACAATGGTTAATATATGTTGACTGGAAAAGAATGCTATATAGCATATATATAATATATAATGCTATATGTATATATATTAAGTCCGCCTTTTG